TACTACTACTACTACTACTACTACTACTACTACTACTACTACTACTACTACTATCACTGCTGCTGCTGCTGCTGCAACAAAAAAAGCACTCAGAAAGTATATATCAGAATCATTCTGTGGGCATTCCAAATTCTCATCAAAAGCATCAACCCCTCAATGAAAGGGTGTGGGGGGAAGGGGGGAGCTTCGCAGAATAATATGAGTAAGACAGAATTAAATATTTCTCCCCGCAGATGAAAAATAGATGGCATAAAATAAAACTTTTGATAATAATTCAGCCAGCTAGCCGTGCATGCATCAAGTGTCTCGCCTGCTTCATCAAAAGAATGGTTTGCTAACCCCAGTGCTCATTACCTCGCTCAATGCATGCGCGCGTGCATTTACCCGTGCATTTACCTCCCCGTCGTCTGGGCGCCACAGTCGAGCAATAGGGGGCGCACGCATCGCGACAATAATCTCATGACGTAGATAATTAGCGCGGACGGTCGTCTGAGGCTAACAATTTGCATAAAAATTAGGGCGCATTTGGATAGGAGAGTATGAACCGTCTACCAATTACGTCATACGCAAATGAAATTATGGCGGAAATTTGACCCTGTAGGTCGACGGAACGTTGTGTTGTCTTTGATGCCGGATGCACGAGAAGGGCTGGGGTGTCCGCTGTCTGCATGCATGCGTGCTGTGACGAGCACTTATCCTGATATCTTTCTAAGTGCGGCCCATCTCATCTTGAGGTCTTAAATCAAGTTTTCTGGATTTGCATTCAATATCATAATTTGCTCTCCCACTATTTCTCTGTTTTTGGGGTTTTAAAAAATATGTCTGCAAGAATGGTATAAAATGTTATGCCATTTTACAGTTTTGCACTCGTTATATTATCTATACTAAGTACCCCTTTCATTTTATAGTTCCCTTAACTGCGTATCACTATTATAATAAAATATTTTTGGAAAGATAGTCCGTAATTCATTTTCTCAATGTTTCTCTATCGATTTCTCTCTCTCTCTCTCTCTCTC